AGACAATTGTTTATAATAAAATTCTATTCAATCGGTAGACTCATAACGATTGAAAACAATGTTTTTGTTTCAGTTTGGGTTTGACTAATTCGTAAAAAAAAAAAAAAAAAATAATTAAGACATGCGTGTCCGTCAACCTTAAACAATAATCTTTTATTTTATTTTTCAGTCTTTATGATGGTCGATACTTGATCTATCTCTTACTGTTACATCCCCGGGCAACGCCGGGCTCTACTGCTAGTAAGTTATATTAAAAACACTATTGTCTGAAGAAATATTTTTTTTTTCCGATGAATAAATAATTTTTTCAGGATTTAAAAAAAAAATTAATATAATAATTTATAATAGTTTAAAATAGTGTAAAATTCTGTATTGGGTTATTGGTCGGAAGTGATAGAGTAATTGAGTTTAAATTTACGAATCCAAAATTGAAAAGATTAATAAACCTAGTTACACCATTCTATTTTATAACTATTTTTAATTTTAATTTTTTTTTACTTAATTTGTTCCCTTTTTTCATCTATGAAAGGCTAAACGAAACATTATTATGGAAAGGTCACGCGATTTAAGAGTTTTGTCTCCTTACAGAGAAATTAATTTAAGAAAATTTTATGGTATCTTAATTTTTTTTATTTTTTGCATAAAACATTTTCGAAAGGTAAATAATAAAATTATTAGATAATTGCGGAAAATATGTTCATTTGTAAAAATTACTAGGTAGTTACCCCCCTCAAAAAAATAAGTTCACTTAGATTTCGTAAAGTTACTAGCTGTCATCGCTTCGTCATTCAATCGTCCATTAATCATCGCGTCGGATAAACAACCCCGATAAATAACAAACGGTTGTATGTTAGGTTTTTATGATATAAGTAATATTTATTTCAAATCAGATTAATTTAACTTTAAATTTTCTAATTTTACTCAAATAATGTGACAGAAATATGCATAGATTTTTTGGAAGAGTTTTAAAATCGATAAATTTGTTTTGTTTACAAAATTTCTTAAAATTAAGAAAATGGACGCATTTAAGAAAATTTTAAGAAATCGAAATTAAAATTGACATTCCAATCAATATAATTTCTATCTGAAATGCACCAGAATATTTTACTTACCTAAAATAATAAATTTTATCTTTTACCTTTCAATTGAAGCTAAAATTAAATCTTCAACAATGCTTTTTCATTTTTAAAAATTCATTTTTTAACCTTAGGTATCGAAACTTCATGAGGAAAAAATGGAGGTACTTCCATGAAAGCTTTTTTGTAGTGATTACAAAATGTTTTTTTATTATAATCTCTTATAATAAAAATAATTTGGTCTACTTATTATTTGGCAATTTTTTTAAAAGTAAATGCTACGAACCGTGGATTTTAATCTATTAGTTCTTTCACTTATATATATATATATATATATATATATATATATATATATATATATATATATATAAAAATAAAAAATATATAAAATAAAAAAACAATTTTATGTTTGTTGATTTTAAAAAGTAAATTCTCTTTTATAATAAACATTATTAATAACATTTACTGGCCTGAATGTCCGAGAAATTGTCATGGAAAATATGCGTCCTCCCACATGAATCGAACCTGTATCCTATACAGAACCGTCATATAGCCTGAAGTGCTTTTAGCGATTTCGCGACAGAGGAGCGTTACGGATAGCAAGGTCTACAATTTTCGATGATATTCTCAAGTACATTCATATCTGCTCGATGCGTATCCAAATGTAAACAAACGACGTCGCACATTATTAAATGAACAAAATCCGAAAAAATTATTTTAAGATTTTTTTTTTTTATGTCGGAGGACGTATATTTTCTATGACAATTTCTCGGACATTCTCGCCGGTAAATATTGTTAATACTGTTTATTATAATAGAGCATTTACTTAAATATTTGTCTCTTTAAAAAAAAGCATGAATAAACATATATATATATATATATATATATATATATATATATATATATATATATATAGAGCATTTACTTGAATATTTGTCTTTTAAAAAAGTATGAATAAACATATATATATATATATATATATATGAAAAAAAAAAATATATATATATATATATATATATATATATATATATATATATATATATATATATTAATGAAGGCAAAGAGCTGAACTCACATGTTTATTGCAATTATAAATGAATGTATGCTTATGTGTTTTGTATAAAAGCGAGAAATTGATGGTGTGTGAGAGAGTGACACAAGGAAACTCACAAATTAATAGCTGAAAATAAAATTAACAAATAAATTATTGTATTGTTTGCTAGACGAAAACAATTATTCCCTGGTTGCTGTTAATCACGCCTTATATGAATCACGAATGCTTTAATAAACATCTATTAATAAAACTTATTTCACCCCATATTTAGGTTCTCCTTACGAATCGCACACAACTTTAGCCTCGTTTTTAAAACAGACATCCGCACCAACAAACATTTGAACGGATATACACGTATACATGATTATAAACAGTCTTAATTTAAGAATGGAAGAAGGGAGAGAGAAGACATGTTGGAATGAAGAAAACGAAGGATAGAGTGAAAGAAAAGAGAGTAAGAAGAATGGATGCAAAGAGAAAAGGGAAGAAGGGAGAGAAAAAAAATGACGGAATGACGAAATCGAATGATGGACAGAATGAAAGGAGAGTAAGCGGAATGGATAATAAAAGAGAAGGGAACATGGAAGAAAGAAAGGGTATGTCGCAATCAAGAAATAGAAAGATGGTGAGAATGAAAAAAAAAGAGTGTAAGAGGAATGGATAAAGAGAGAAAAGGAAAGAAGGGAGAGGAAATAAACGCTGGAATGAAGAACTCGAAAGACGGAGAGAATGAAAGAAGCGAAGGAAAAGAAAACGGAAATGGGAGAGAAAATGTAAATGCCTGAATGAATAAATAGAAAGGCGTAGAGAATGAAAGAAGAGTAAGATGAAGAAATAAAAAGAGAGAAGGGAAGCCAGAGAGAGCAAGGGAACGAAGAAATGGAAAGACGGAGAGAAAGAAGAGAGAGTAAGAGGAATGGAGACAAAGATTGAGAGAATGAAAGGAGAGTAAGAGGAAGGGATAAAAAGAGAAAAGGGAAGAAGGGAGACAAAAAGAAATGTCGGAATGAAGAAATCGAAAGACGGGGAGAAAGAAGAGAGAGTAAGAGGAATGGATAAAAAGAGAGAAGGGAAGAAGAGAAAGAGAAAGAAATGTCGGAATCAAGAAATAGAGCGATAGAGAGAATGAAAGGAGAGTAAGAGGAAGAGATAAAAAGAGATTAGGGAAGACGGAAGAAAGAAAATATCTGAATAAAGAAATCGAAATTTGGAGAGAATAAAAGGAGAGTAAGGGAAATGGATAAAAATGAGAGAAAGGTGGTAGGAAGAGGGAAAAGGAATGCAAGAATGAAGAAATAGACAGAGGGAGAGGATAAAAGGAGAGTAAGACGAATGGATAAAAAGAATGAAGAGGAGACGGAAGAAAGAACTGAAATGTCGGTACGAAGAAATTGAAAGATGGAGAGAAAGAAAAGAGACTAAGAGCAATGGAAGGAGGGGTAGAGAAGAAATGTCGGACTGAAGAAATCGAAGGATAGAGAGAAAGAAAAGAGAGTAAGAAAGATGGATGCAAAGAGAGAAAGGAAGAAGGAAGAGAAAAATGAATCACCGGAATGAAGAACTCGAAAGAGATTAAGACGAATGGTTCAAAAAAGAGAGAAGGGAAGGAAGAATAAGCAAGGAAATGACAGAATGAAGAAAAGGGAGACGGGAAGAACGAAGAGAGAAAGAGAATGTCGGAATAAAGAACTACAAAGAGTGAGAGAATAAAAGGAGAGTAAGACGAATGGATAAAAAAAGAGAGAAGAAAGAAGGAAGAGAAAAGGAAAATAGATGGAGAGAAGGAAAGGAGAGTAAGAGAAAAGGAATGGATACAAAGAGAGAAGGGAAGAAAGAAAAGGAAAAAGAAACGCTGGAATGAAGAACTCGAAAGACGTAGAGAATGAAAGAAGACTAAGATGAAGAAGTAAAAACAGAGAAGGGAAGCAAGAGAGAACAAGGAAATGTCAGAATGAAGAAACGAAAAAACATAGAGAGAAAAAGAGAGAGTAAGAGGAATGGATACAAAGAGAGAAGAGAATAAATGGAGAGTAAGAGGAATGGATACAAAGAGAGAAGAGAATAAAAGGAGAGTAAGAGGAATGCATCATAAGAGAGAAGAGAATAAAAGGAGAGTAAGAGGAATGGATCATAAGAGAGAAGAGAATAAAAGGAGAGTAAGTGGAATGGATCATAAGAGAGAAGAGAATAAAAGGAGAGTAAGAGGAATGGATCATAAGAGAGAAGAGAATAAAAGGAGAGTAAGAGGAATGCATCATAAGAGAGAAGAGAATAAAAGGAGAGTAAGTGGAATGGATCATAAGAGAGAAGAGAATAAAAGGAGAGTAAGAGGAATGGATCATAAGAGAGAAGAGAATAAAAGGAGAGTAAGAGGAATGGATCATAAGAGAGAAGAGAATAAAAGGAGAGTAAGAGGAATGCATCATAAGAGAGAAGAGAATAAAAGGAGAGTAAGTGGAATGGATCATAAGAGAGAAGAGAATAAAAGGAGAGTAAGAGGAATGCATCATAAGAGAGAAGAGAATAAAAGGAGAGTAAGTGGAATGGATCATAAGAGAGAAGAGAATAAAAGGAGAGTAAGAGGAATGGATCATAAAAGAGAAGAGAATAAAAGGAGAGTAAGAGGAATGGATCATAAGAGAGAAGAGAATAAAAGGAGAGTAAGAGGAATGCATCATAAGAGAGAAGAGAATAAAAGGAGAGTAAGAGGAATGGATCATAAGAGAGAAGATAATAAAAGGAGAGTAAGGGGAATGCATCATAAGAGAGAAGAGAATAAAAGGAGAGTAAGAGGAATGGATCATAAGAGAGAAGAGAACAAGGTAGAAAGAAAGGGTATGTCGGCCACTCAACCTCGCCTCGTCAGTAACATGCACGATTGTTCAAAAGGAGAATCAATTGCCAATATTTCACGGAATAATTCTGAAGCAGTACGTTTTCTTTTTTTTGTAAAAAAATGTTTTAGATTATAGAATTTAGGGTTCAAATTATGTGAGCGTCACAGATGCAGATGTGGAGCTTCCATTGCTGAGTTTGGTTTGCCTCCTCCCTCCTACCGCGGTAATGCAGGCCGCTTTCCACTGCATGCAGCAATAAACGACATCATCAGAAGAGGTCTAGATGCAGCTGGCTTCCCTTCCCAAATCGAACCCGTCGGCCTCGACCGTGGTGATGGAAAGCGGCCGGAGAAGGTTACCATTTTCACTTTTAAAGGAAGGACGTCGTTGATTTGGGGTACGACCTGTGCCGACACATTTTTGACTGGTAACGTTGGAGTTATGGACAGCGGCTCGGATTGAGGAATCAGAGAGCCGAGTTCGAATTCCTGTCGAATCCATTACATTCACTTACGTTCTAATACTCTTGGGAAAGGTATGAATCATCTTCTTCAACCAGGTAAAGACCGGGTTCTATAGCCTTGGATGGCCACTGGTCTACCTACTGCGGGGAAACATCTGCCTCGCCAGTCATGTATCGAAAGATATATGATCGCCTAAGCGTGTATCACGTGTGGCACATAACTGACTGACTGGGAAACACGTTTAAAATAATAGGTGATCAGCACCGCCTCACCTGTCTACTATCTGCTTCATAACCGAGTAGTGGCGTCTGGCTCAAAGCAGTGACCCCCTCATCTACCGGTACCCCTTCTACCGGAGGCGCGATCCATAATGTGAGCGAAACAGATGCAGATTTGGGGCTTCCGTTGATGATTTTGGTTGCATCCTCTGCATCCATCGTAGTGCCGGCCGCTTTCCAAGGCATGCAGCAATAAACGACATCACTCTGGGTACAGCTGGGTTCCCTTCCCAAATCGAACACGTAGGCCTCGACCATGTTGATGGAAAACGGTCAAATGGCGTTTCCATTTTCCCTTTTAACATGGGGAAGTTGTTGATTTGAGATGCGACCTGTGCCGATACATTTTCGACCGGTAATTTGATCAGGTCAGCGGTTGGACCGGGTCTGTCGCTCGGGTCGCGGAGATAAAAAAATATCTGTCGATATTTGTGAGATGAGGTATTATGTACGTTATTTACATTATTCGGACTATTGTCCACATGTTTCTCGCCATCAGTCCAAATAATGTAAATAATGTACATAATACCGCATCTCAGAAATATAGACAGAAAATGAGAGGCCGAAACGTTGTAATAAATATGGCGACAAAGATGAGGACAATAGCCCAAATAATGTAAATAGTGTACATAATACCTCATCCTAGAAATATAGACAGATACTGAAAGGCCAGAATATTGTAATAAATATGGCGACAAAGATGAGGACAATAGCCCAAATCATGTAAATAGTGTACATAATACCTCATCTCAGAAATATAGATAGAAAATGAAAGGCCGGAACGTTGTAATAAATATGGCGACAAAGATGAGGACAATAGTCCGAATAATGTAAATAGTGTACATAATACCTCATCTCAGAAATATAGACAGATACTGAAAGGCCGGAACGTTGTAATAAATATGGCGACAAAGATGAGGACAATAGTTTGAATAATGTAAATAGTGTACGTAATACCTCATCTCAGAAATATAGACAGATACTGAAAGGCCGGAACGTTGTAAAAAATGTGGCGACAAAGATGAGGACAATAGTCCGAATAATGTAAATAATGTAAAACAAAATAGTTAAAAAATTCTTCTCTTGCTTCTTTTTTCTTTTCTTTAATTTACTCCTGTGACAGTGGAGACTTCTGGGGTTGTTCCTCGTTGTGGGATGGCGTCTCATTTAAGGGGCAAAACTCGCGAAACAGTGTGGCTCTTGCAACGTGTCTCACTGGCGATGTTGCGAGTTAATGCTTTCTCCATCATTGCGGCTGGCAGATGATAGAAAAAAAAACATTTTGTTAATAGATATTTTGTTCAAACTTTGTTCCAATAAATGATTATAGAGACGCCTTTAAATGATCAATTGGCAAGATAGCGTTAACGTTCTGCCAAACGCAACGTTCATCTTTTAAAAACAATTTTTGCGCACAGTATTTTATCAGATATATTTCCAATACCACATCTAAAAGGTCAGCCATTCTAACAGTGACCGCATCCCACAATCCTCACTCTTGGTCCATATGCGCCCTCATCTGCATATCACTTGCGGGTCTTAAATGCCACTTAAGATTATCGCACAAATTTCATAACTGAATCAATTCGTTAAGTTGTCAGATCCTCATACATCGAAACCGATGGGAGAGTCTATCATATATATATATATATATATATATATATATATATATATATATATATATATATATATACGGGTACAGCTATATATGTGAGGTTACAGATGTATATGTGCATACGCGTGTATATATATACTGACTCTCCCATCGACGTATGAGGGTCAAGCAGATCAGTCACCAGGAAACCGACAGCCCGACAACAGCACATGAGATTTGATTATAACGGTGAAGGTTTCGTGCAGGACCATCCACACATTTTGAAGGGCCGAATACAGAGACCCGGTGCACTACGTGCCACAGGGTCCCCAAACGATCCTCCGCAGGTTTTTAATTCAGCGTTGTCCTTCTCCTAGACCAGGCTATAGAACCCAGTCTGTCCTGCTATTTTACCCAAAGCCGGAGGGAGAAGAAGACGATTCACACCTTTCCCGAGGGTGTTAGCACGTAAGTGTATGTAATGGATTCGACTGAATTGAACTCAGCTATATATATATATATATATATATATATATATATATATATATATAATATGTATATGTATATATAGTGTATGAGAAATATATATTGTATATGACAGATATATATATAGTAATTTTAATTTATTTGTAACAAACAGTTATTTCTGATGAAAAATTGAGGACAACTTGAAATATCAAATATATATATATAAATAAATAAATACTTTCATAAAATAAAACATTATTATTTTTTAATTTGAAACTTTATATATATATATATATATATATATATATAATGTATTTGGGCAACAATCGCTCTTTGATACATGTTTCGTTAAAGCGTATTGAAACGGTGCTGCGATTAAGTTCTTTTTTTTATTTAATTTTCTTGTGTTCGTACAAGTGTTTATTTTCTGGACACAAAATGAGTATTTTATCAGATATATTTCCAATACCACATTCAAATTCAAATTACGCATACACGAAATAATAATCCTTGAATATTGCTGCCACATCTGGTCTGGTGCTTCTGCTATATATTTAGAGATTCTTGATAAAACCCAAAGAAGAATCTATCTTCCATATTTATAATTCTAACATTCATCCTTGCTTTGAATATTGCTGCCACATCTGGTCTGGTGCTTCTGCTATATATTTAGAGATTCTTGATAAAATCCAAAGAAGAATCTATCTTACATATTTATAAGGCTACCATTCATCCTTTCTTTGAATATTGCCGCCACATATAGTCTGGTGCTCCTGCTATATATTTAGAGATTCTTGATAAAATCCAAAGAAGAATCTATCTTACATATTTATAAGGCTACCATTCATCCTTGCTTTGAATATTGCCGCCACATATAGTCTGGTGCTCCTGCTATATATTTAGAGATTCTTGATAAAATCCAAAGAAGAATCTATCTTACATATTTATAAGTCTACCATTCATCCTTGCTTTGAATATTGCTACCACATCTGGTCTGGTGCTTCTGCTATATATTTAGAGATTCTTGATAAAATCCAAAGAAGAATCTATCTTACATATTTATAAGTCTACCATTCATCCTTGCTTTGAATATTGCTACCACATCTGGTCTGGTGCTTCTACTATATATTTAGTGATTCTTGATAAAATTCAAATTTTCTTTCTTTATTTTTTTCATTCATTTTTTCGTTTTTCTTTCTTTCGTTTTTCTTTCTTTCTTTCCTTATTTTTCTATCTTCAATTCTCTCCCATTCCTTTCTTTCATTTTCTTCCTTTCTTTTTTCTTTTCTTCTGTTTTTCTTCTTTCATTTACTTTTTGTATTTTTTCTTTCATTTTTCCTTTCGTTTTTCTCTTTCGTTCAATTTTCCATTATATTTTCTTTCCTTCTTTTTTCTTTCATTCCTTCTTTCTTTTTCATTCTTTCTTTGTTTCATTTCTTTCTTTTTTTCTTTCATTCTTTCTTTTTTTCTCTCTTTCTTTCTTTCATTTTCTTTCTTTTTTCTTTTATTCTTTCTTTCTTTCATTTTCTTTCATTCTCTCTTTTTTCATTTTTCTTTTTCTTTCTTTCTCTCATTTTCTTTCTCTACTCTTTCTTTCTTTTTCTTTCTTTCTTTCTTTCCTTCATTCATATACTTTCATTATTTTTCTTTTATTCTTTCTTTCTTTTTCTTCCTTTTATTATTTCTTTCTTTGTTTCTTTCATTCTTTCTTTTTTTCTCTCTTTCTTTCTTTCATTTTCTTTCTTTTTTCTTTTATTCTTTCTTTCATTTTCTTTCTTTTTTCTTTTATTCTTTCTTTCTTTCATTTTCTTTCATTCTCTCTTTTTTCATTTTTCTTTTTCTTTCTTTCTCTCATTTTCTTTCTCTACTCTTTCTTTCTTTTTTCTTTCTTTCTTTCTTTCCTTCATTCATATACTTTCATTATTTTTCTTTTATTCTTTCTTTCTTTTTCTTCCTTTTATTCTTTCTTTCTTTGTTTCTTTTATTTTCTTTCTGTTTGTTCTCCTCATCTAAACGTTTCTAGTGTTTTCACAGTTATTGGTTCTAAGCTAGTATCACTGCTTTAGTCCCTTTTTCCGCTGTGGCCGTAGAGACGACATGCAGCTGAGGTACTGACCAGTCAACCTTCACATATCTAGGGTAAAACCTAGAGAGTTATTCATTGATGTGTAGCGTGTCTCCGGCAAGTAGACTTGTCTGAGCCCATCCGACTCCAGCCGAAACCACATCTGATATCCTCCAACTTAAAGCCTAGCCTTAGTCACCTTGAACCTTGTCTTCAGTCCCCACCTAACAATACTTTGTATTCATAGCACTGGCTGCATACACAGCAACGGATCTCGTTCTACCCTATTGCACTAGCTGGGTGTTGATGCTAAAAGTTTATTGGTCCTTTGGAAAGTCTTGTTTTGAATCCTGGAGGTTGACTAGACACACTTCTCACCAAAAAAGTTTGGTGGGGGACCCAGTTTGCTTGTCGATGAATTGACCTAGCAGCAGATTGTACTATGATTTATCCTATCAGTAGCATTCGTTATCTGAGTTGACTTAATGAAGTGGCCATGATTCATGCAAATTCAGATTTCTATCGCTCCTTGGACTTTTTATTAAATAATGCCAATCACAGACTTTTAAATTATTTCTCGTTCTCTTATTTCCTTCCTTCCTTCATTCATTCATTCATTCCTTCCGTCCTTCCTTCATTCATTCATTACTTTCTTTCTTTTCTTTCTGAATTTCGAGATTAATTATCTTTTAAACTATTCCTTCTGATTTGCTTTTCTTTTTTTTTTTAAATTTTCTTTATTTTTCTGTCATTTTATCTTTGGTGTTTATTGTAACATTCTATTATCTTTTAACCAAATTTTTCTCATATTTTGTTCCTAGTTTTCTTTCATTTTCTTTCTTTATTTTTTCTTTCTTGCTTTCATCTTCTTTATTTTTCTTTTATTTATTCTTTCTTCCATTCATTTTCTTTTTTTCTTTTTCATTCTTTCTTTCTTTCATTCTTTCTTTCTTTCATTCTTTCTTTCATTCATTTATTTTATTTTTCTTGCATTCTTTCTTTCTATTTTTCTTTTTCTTTCTTTATTTCATTTTCTTTCTTTTTTCTTTCTTTCTATCATTTTCTTTCTCTATTTTAACTTTCATTCATTCTTTCTTTTTTCCTTCGTCCATTCTTTCTTCCATTTTTCATTCTTTATTTTCTGTCATTCTTTCTTTCATTTTTCTTTCATTAATTTTCATTTTCTTTCTTTATTTTTTCTTTCATTCTTTCTTTTTTCTTTGATCTGATTCTTTCATTTTCTTTATTTATTTTTCCTTCGTTCTTTCTTTCTTTTTTCTTTCCTTCTGTGTGCTTTCTTTCATTTTATTTTTTCTTTCAATTTTCCTTTGTTTTTATCTCTTATTTTTTCGTTATATTTTCTTTCATTTTCTTTTCTTCTTTTTTCTTTCTTACTTTCATTTCTTACTTTATTTTTCATTCATTTTTCTTTTTCTTTCTTTGTTTCATTTTCTTTCTTAATTATTTCTTTCAGTCTTTCTTCCTTACTTTTTCTTTCTTTTTTCAATTGATTTTTATTTTTATTTCATTGTTTCTTTTTTCTTTTATTATCTTTATTTTTCTTTCTTTTCTCTTTCTTCTCTTTCTTTTCTTTATTTTCTACCATACTCTCTTTTTTATTTCTTTCATTCTACCATTTTCTGCTTTGTTTTTCTTTCAGTTTTTCTTTATTTCTTCATTCTTTCATTTTTGTTTCATTTTTCATTTTTTATTTTTTATGGCATTCTTTCTTTTATTCTTCTTTCATTAATTTTTCATTTTCAATCTTTACTTTTTCTTTCATTCTTTAGTTCTTTTTTCTTGCTTTCTTTTTTCTTTCTTTATTTTTTCTTTCCTCCTTTTTTCTTCCTGTCGTTCATTTTATTTTTTCCTATTATTCTTTTTTTCTTTCTTTCTTTTTCATTTTTTATTTTTTCACTTTTACTTTTTCTTTTTTCTGTCATTCTTTTATTTTCTTTCATTACTTTTCTTTCCTTCTTTCTTTTTTTTTCATTCTTTATTTTTTCTGTCATTCTGTCTTTCTTTTTCTTCATTTAGATTATTTCATTTCCTTGCTTTATTTTTCTTTCATTCTTTCTCTATTTTTCTTTCTTTCAATTTCTTTCTTTATATATCTTTCATTCTCTTTTTCATTTTTCTTTCTTTCTTATTTAAACATTCATTACCTTTGAATATTTTCTTCCTTCCTAAATTTCTTATTTACTTTCTTTCTTTTTCCTTTCTAAAACATTTTTCTTTCATTTTCTTTTTTCTTTCTTATTTGTACATACGTTATCTTCAAATTCATCTTTAGCATTTACCTTTTTCCTAATGTTTTTTCATTTTCTCATTTGTTTTGCTATATTCTATTCTCTTGTTCTTTTGTTTGTTTTTGTTTTCTTTCTTTCTTTAAAAGTAATAATATAATAACAGAAAAATATTAGTTGCCAAAGCAGTTACGTACCTTATGAAAAATAGAATATGCAAAGGCAAAAACGAGTCGACCGCTGGAGAAATTTTGTGAGCGAGGAAGACAGGTGGTTGAGGGGTTGGCGGTCCAAAAAAAGAGTTTGCTCGATGATTGATAAATGTATTGCTTTTTTTAAATTAATACTTAAGAATGAACCATGAAGCAATACCTAAAGAATGAATCATGAAGCAATACCTAAAGAATGAACCAATAGCTAACGGATGAACCATGAAGTAATACTTAAAAAATGAACCATGAAGCAATACCTAAAGAATGAACCATGAAGGAATACCTAAAGAATGAACCATGAAGATTTACCAAAAGAATGAACCATGAAGCAATAGCTAAAGAATGAATCATGAAGCAATGCCTAAAGAATGAACCATGAAGCAATGCCTAAAGAATAAAGCATGAAGCAATACCTAAATAATGAACCATGAAGCAATGCCTAAAGAATAAAGCATGAAGCAATACCTAAATAATGAATCATGAAGCAATACCTCAAGAATAAACCAATACCTAACGAATGAACCCTGAAATAATACTTAAAGAATGAACCATGAAGCAATACCTAAAGAATGATCCATGATACAATGCCTAAAGAATGATCCATGAAGCTATGCCTAAATAATGAAACATTAAGCAATGTCTAAAGAATGAACCATGAATCAATACCTAAAGAATGAACCATGAAGGAATGCCTAAAGAATGAACCATGAAGCAATACCTAAAGAATGAACCATTAGGCAATACCTAAAGAATGAACCATGAATCAATACCTAAAGAATGAACCATGAATCAATACCTAAAGAATGAACCATGAAGCAATGCATAAAGAATGAACCATGAAGTAATACTTAAAGGATGAACAATGAAATAATACCTAAAGAATGAACCATGGAGTTATAGCTAAAGAATGAACAATGAAGTAAATATATGGTATTGAATATATAATTTTATATATGATATACTTAAATTTATAAAACAAAGCCTTATTTAAATTTCATAAAACCCCAAGCAAGGCGATAATGCCACTAAAATGCAACGTATTATGGGGAATGAACGGATATGATCATAATATAGAAGAAATATGAAAACCCAATCCTAAACAGGAAACAAACGATAAACATCTGTTCCAGTTTAAAAAATCACTGGGAGGTGTGTGAACCGGGCGCTAATTCTGTTGTGGAAATAACTAAATGGATAGTAAATAACATTTTAATAGAGTTTAGGCAGAGACGTCAGAAATATAGAGTGTATGTAAACTTTAGAATGTACTGGAAATCCAACCCTAAACAGGAAACAAGAGATAAACATCTACACCTGTTCAAATGCGCTGTGACGAGTGTGAACTGGGCAATGATTTTAAGGCAAGCGGTTTTTGTAGTTAAAGAGTTGACTATTAAGAAATAAATCTTAAAATCAGCAAATAAAATTATTAACAAGGGAAAATTCGACTCCGAAATCCGAATAGACATTTTATTAGTTTAGATGCATTCTAAAAGCTAAGCAAAATGCTTAGAAACGGAAAAATAATGCTGGATTGCTATGTAATATCCAACCTCATTTATGACAGTGAACGCTGGACAATCTTCACAGAGATGAAGCGAAAACTAAATGGCAACAAAAATGTTGTCCTACAGAAGGCTAGTGAGAATTCTCTGAACGGAGTGAGTAAATAATAAGGGAAAAAGTGAGAAAATCTGTTGTGGAGAGACATGAATTCCTATGTTCCAAAAAGATCTTCGTGATTCTGAATTTCACATGTATTCATATCTGTTCATCTGCAATTTACTAATAAATACATTACTATCAAATAATCGGTGATGATAGGTTGGCCTATCGCCCGGGTCATACTTCTCCCTTGTCTTTTGAACAGGAGTAGAGGTTTATCTCTTTTTTTTCTGTTTAGAATTGGGGTTCCATCTAAAGTCTTTTCACTCACTTTACCTTTTATTAGCCACTTGTGTCTTGGTGGCATTGTTGCCTTGCTTGGGATGAATTGATTAAAAATAACACTGAGAACCAAATGAAAAACAGACAAGTATTTGCGCATTGGTGAAAAACAAGACTTCTTCATTTTCTTCTTCTTTATTGCCTTCTTTTTTTTTCTTTGCCTCCTTCTTCTTTTTCTTTTCTCTAACTTCTACTTCCTCTTTGCCTTTTTTCTTCTTTCCCTCCTCCTCCTCCTCATGTTCTTCTTCCTCTTCCTTCTTCTTCATCTTCTTCACTGCCTACTATTTTTCTTTGCCTTCCTTTTCTTCTTTGCCTTCCTTTTCTTCTTTGCCTTCCTTTTCTTCTTTGCCTCCCCCACCTCCTCCTTCTTATTATTCTTCTTCTTCTTCTTCTGCTGCTGCTGTTTCTCAGCCTTTTTCTTATTTGACTCCTTCTTCTCCTCCTCTTCCTCCCCCTCTTTCTTTTTCGTCTTCTTCTTCCCTGCTTTCTATTTCATCTTTAACTTCTTTTTCTGCTTTGCCTCCTCCTCCTCCTTTTCTCTGACTTCTATTTTCACTTTGCCTTTTTTCTTCTTTCCCTCCTCCTCCTCGTAATGTTCATCTTCCTCTTCCTTCTTCTTCATCTTCTTCTTCCCTGCCTTCTATTTTTCTTTGCCTTCCTTTTCTTTTTTGCCTCCTCAACCTCCTCCTCCTTCCCTTCTTCTTCTTCTTCTTCTTCTTCTTCTTCTTCTTCTTCTTCTGCTGCTGCTGCTGCTGCTTCTCAGCCTTTTTCTTATTTGACTCTTTCTCCTCCTCCTCTTCCTCCTTCTATTTCTTCTTGGTCTTCTTCTTCCCTGCTTTCTATTTCATCTTTAACTTCTTTTACTGCTTTGTCTCCTCCTCCTCCTCCTACTCCTCCTTTTCTCTGACTTCTATTTCCACTTTGCCTTTTTTCTTCTTTCCCTCCTCCTCCTCCTCCTCCTAATGTTCATCTTCCTCTTCCTTCTTCTTCATCTTCTTCTTCCCTGCCTTCTATTTTTCTTTGCCTTCCTTTTCTTTTTTGCCTCTTCAACCTCCTCCTCCGCCCCTTCTTCTTCTTCTTCTTCTTCTTCTTCTTCTGCTGCTGCTGCTGCTGCTGCTGCTGCTTCTCAGCCTTTTTTCTTATTTGACTCCTTCTTCTCTTCCTCTTCCTCCTCTTTCTTCTTCGTCTTCTTTTTCTTTCCTGCTTTCTATTTCATCTTTAACTTCTTTTTCTGCTTTGCCTCCCTCTTCTTCGCCTTCTTCTTTTTCTTCTCTGCATTTTACATCTTCTTCCTTGTTCTTCTATTCTCTTCCTCCTCTCCTTTTCAAATTTATGCTAAAACTAGCTTACGATACTGAAACAAATCTATGACCGAATCTGGAACTGCAGCAGAAATTAGAATCATAGTTTAATCAAACGTCTTCTATTCCAATAGTTGCTCTTATCAGTATTCCATCTCCTTCATTTTGCGTAAACTATTAAAACAAACACTTTATTCCTTTTGGCTCATTAACGATCAGACTTATCTTTTACATACCGCTTCTTCCGAGACCTTCTTTCGCGATTTCAATAAGTATTCACATATTCAGTGAAAGGGTTTAAATTATTAACTGCATACGTATTTAGTTACATATTCGTTTAACCAATTAAACGAAAAAAATATTTATGTCATAGCTATGTGCATTGCTTATAATAACGTTGAATCATCTGATAATTTGATTAATTTTAATATTAAATGCATACATCTTTAGATACATATTTCTTTAACCAATTCAACCAGAGATAATATTTATGTAATCGCTATATGCAGTGTTTATAA